TTGCGGTGCTGAAAATTCCTAATATGCCGTAGATTTCTTACTTTGCGTTACGATGTGATGCAATTTTGCCGTACCGTGCTGTATTTTTTCAACATCGTCTCTCCGTTTGTATGTCGTTGAGGTCATATTTTCTCATTCTTTTTTCTAGGGACCATCACATATCTAGGAGCAAAAGTGTGCGATTTTGACTGGCCAAAGCGAGATGAACGGAAATTTTTATTTTTCAATTAATGATAAGATAGCAGCCCAAAATGTTAGTCATCGATGTGTGGTGGAATAACTGTCGTGAGCTTAAAGTACTTTTCCCTCCTTGATGAAAAAACTATCAAACTAGTTTTGGTTCTCTGTTCAAAATCTACTCTTCGAAAAGGAAATTGAACTCTGCCACTTTCACAGTAGGTTTGGCTTTTTACGTTCTAGTCAGTTTGTTTCTTACTTTCTTTTTGGAAAGTGCTGCTAGATGGGATTTTTTTCAGCGTTTCGTTGATTGTTGTCCTAATTTCTGAAGTTGGTAGTTCAACGAAAAACCATCAGTACTAGTACATAGCGAATGTTCGACAATGATTTTATGTGGATACAACATGAACTTTTAACAAAAGTTAATTTTACCACATTTTTCAATCAAAAAGCGAAATGAGTGTACAGCTCCCTAAACATTCGGTTTTTTTATGAAAGGTCGCAGTGAACTTGATCTTTGCCTTTTTAGTAACATTCAATGACGCCACTGAATTAATTGCTTGCATTTGATTAGTTCCAAATGTCTTGTCTTAATTGTCTATTGTGCAATCTGCTCTTATCGAAAAGGATTTGAAAAGTATAACTCGCAACTTTAATCACTTGCATAACTTGTCAGTGAGATGGTTTTTTTCCCAACTACATATCTTTTCAATTGTTTGATATGATATCCCGAGCTTAATTTTTTTTCGATTTTTCATGCTCTTTGTAAGATTTTTTACGTCTATATATGTATATCTCAAAGTTGAATGTCCTATTGTGTTTACTTATTGGATTCAATAAGAAATATCACATAATTCTTGTGTTCAGTGCCTAGACAGCTAACATTCACCGCAATTACGTCATGCGGTGTTCTCAGCATGCGCCACTTCCCATCACTATGGGTCAAGTTGTAACGAGGTGAGGTATCTGCGAAACCCAACCTCAGCGATGGGTACATATATACCCTCTTTTTCGTGATTAAGGTAGTGGTAACAAAAATGATGAATCTCGGTACACCGTGGCCGCATTTACCTTAGGTAAAATCAATGTGAATCCGGCCCCTGGACTGTAACCGG